ACCGTTGCGCGCGCTGGGGCTGGCTAGACTCTTGCTTCATTTTGCCCTGACTCTAGTGACATGACCTCTCCAGAGGGAGAGGTGGTGGATGTAACTGTCCCCAGGACAGCCCGAGGGCCTGCTGCCCCATGCGTTCCTGCCCCTGCACCCACTGCTCTGGGCCTGTGAGAGCCTGATGGCCTCGCCAGGCCCCAGGCAGATCTGGAGTTTTTAATCATTATATTAAAATATGTTCAGAATACTGCTTGTTTGAGGTGAATTTTCCTCTAGATCTAACAAACAAAAATAGTCTTTGTGAAACTATGGCACTTCCAAAGGCCCGCTCTTTACTTTCCTTTTTCACTTGAATGGCCAGACTCTTGCTTAATTTTGCCTTAACTACCTGACCTCAGACAGGTTGCTTAGGCTTCTCTCTCTAGAGAGGGATAGAGAAGACCTGGCCCATGGTTGCCAGGGTGGACGTGGAGCATGGGCACAGCTGTGTGTGAGGGAGGCTCCCAGTCCTGCTCCCTTCCTGAACTTTGCTGAACTGAACTGGCCTGAGAACCCAGTTCCTGTATGAGCTGCTGCCACAGGATAGCCCGGCCTGTGAGGCCAACAGCCCAGCCATTGAGCTCTGCACTTAGAGAGCCAGCATGGGCCGTGAGGCCTCTAGTAAACAGGAAGAGATGAATGCACAGGCTCTTTCTGTCCTCCAGCCAAGAGCTGCCCAGATAAAGTGGTTCTGTAGGTTGTTGTTGCTTTTGGGGGAAGGGATAATGGAGTAGTTGCTAACAGATTACAAATTGGGCTATAATGTAATCAATTAGTTGTGATTTCCTGAGCACTGAATAGAAGGATCCCGAAGCTGTTTGTGGGCTCAGCCAGGGAGAGTCTTGGCTACAAGCCTGGGAGGGCAGGGGCCGTCTGAGGTCTGGGGGATCCACCGTGGCCATCCCAGGTCCGTGGGAAGCATTTGCAGGTCTCAGGACACGTTTCTGTACTTCCCCACAGGGAAAAGGGGTCCAGTCAGGCATCCTTTCTCAGGATAAGCTGTGCACTTGGCTAACACACTTAGTGATTAGGTTCCTATTGTAATCATTACTAATAATGATGCAAAAAATCAGTCTGTGCTTTTTAAAGAGTAATTTGGAGCATGAGTTTTAATGAGTCATGAGTTGGATTCCATTTCTCTTCATTCTGATGCTTTTTGTGGGAAAGAAGGCAGCACTATTATCCTGCTTATATTTTTAATAAGGTTTTAGCTTAAGAATCCCCAAAGAAGCCAGATTTATTTTGAAGAGGATAATGTTGCTTCCTCCCACCCCAACCCCCAGGCAGGGCAGCTAAAGCAAGGAAGCCAAAGGGCTGAGCCACAAGAGGCAGCCTGGTTGGGCGGGGGGGAGGGGCTGTGCCGTCACCCCCTGCGACTCCAACGTGCTAATTTGTGAAAGATGGCAGACAACAAATCAGAGACTCCCAAGCTCAGGGTGGTCCATGGAGAAACTTCCAGGGCTTGTTAAAAATTCAGCGAGTCGTGGGATCCACTACAGACCAGCGAGTTAGCATCTCAGGGAGGGGCCTACGAGTCTGCACTTAACAAGGTCTAGGGATTCTCATGTGGCCTCTGGACCAAATGATCGTCAGAGTTCCTTCTGATCAGAAATTCTGTGCTTCTGGAGTTAATTCTACCAGTGCTCACCATTTCCCCCAGGCTGGGGCTCAGCACCTACCCCCCTTGCTCCTCTTCACCAGGAGGCAGCTGGCAGTGGGGAGGCAGTTCTGGTACAAGCTGCATGACCGCACAGTGAGGGCCTTCAGACCCATGAGCAGTAGACAGGAGTTGGTTTACCCAAGAGAAGCCATCTCAAGGCCAGACGGCTTCTGACTGTCTTTCAGGTGGGACGACGAAGGCCAACCCGTTCGTACAGGAAAGGTTTGGATGTCGCTCACTGACCTCAAAACCAATTTAGCTCTTCCTCTCGGACAAGCGGGCTATTGCAGCTCGTCTTCTCTACACTGCTTGGGCTGTTCTTTGGGCTTTAGCTCCAGGTTTTAAGTTCTGGTCCTGCCATCTGCTCAGCGTGTCCAGCCGGGGAGTGCAGGAGACACCGGGAGTCAAGCCAAGCCACAGCTCCTTGCACGGCCCACGGAGGCTCATCATTGCACTGGTGAAGGCCACAGAGAGCACAGGCCTTCCTGCCACATTTCCTTTGGGAATCACAAAGCTCCATGAGGCCGATCAAGCCCTGAAGGATGGAGCCACAGAGGAAGGGGCTGGAGGTGGGTTTGGCCCAACCCACCAGACTGTGGGGCCTGATCGCTCGTTGGCTTCAAAAGAAGCCTTGCTTGGGGCCAGCTCCTTGGCCTAGTGGTTAAGTTCAGTGCACTCTGCTTCAGCAGCCTGGGTTTGGTTCCTGAGCGAGGACCTATATCACTTGTCGGCGGCCATGCTGTGGTGGCACCCCACATATAAAATAGAGGAGGATTGGCACAGATGTTAGCTCAGGGCGAATCTTCCTCAGCAAAAAAAAAAGAAGCCTTGCTCTAGGACAGGAGAAGGGAAGGGCAAAAGTGGAGACAGGTGCTCCTGTGCAAATTGCTCCCGCTACTGGCCTGAGGCATGAGAGGATTGTGGGTCCCTGGCTGTCGTTCCTACCTTTGCTATGAGCAGTGCAGTTCAGTGCAGATGACCCTGTGACCTCCCAGACATGCCCAGGCTCTTAAGTGCTGCCCTGAGCTGGGCAGGCACTGCAGGCGGGGAGGAGCCCAGCTGGGTGGGTGCTGAGTCCCTTCCCTGGCCTAGGTGAAGCCCCCCAACTTTGGGCCTGAGAGAAGGGACATCTCCAAAAAGTTAGACAAAAGTCACTTCATGCTGGGTCCTCCAGGGGAGAAGGCCCGTCAGACAGGAGCTCTCCGCTGGCCGCTGTGGAGCAGGGGGCCCCTCCCAGGAGATCTGCGGGACACCCCCGCAGTCCTTCGCCTGGCGCCAGGGGGCTCCCAGCCTCAGCCACACACATAAATGGGGGAAGCAGTTTGCACCTCACAGGGAGCCTGAAAGCCTCTTTTGGATTAAAACCCATTTGGTCAGAACCCATTTTGATTTCCCTCCCCATGTGGAGTGCCGGGGAATCGTGGCTGGAAGATTCTGAGACCAGCTAGGGAATGTTTTATCCTCATTACAGTTTGCGTTTAAGTTTACGTAGCCTTTAATTTCTTAGGGTTACTTGTCAAATCAGGAAATAGATTCATATTCTCTCTCCTTCTCTCTCATACAAAGACATTTAAAAAGGTCTCACAAGTATTAAATGACACCAGCTAGAAGGGCCTGCAGTGAATCTGGGCTGAAATATTACAGTGTTCCTGTATGGGGATATTTCATATCAGTAGTTAGCAGGTGGAGTGCGCTCATGAGAGGGCCGGAAGCGTTAGTAATGGAAAAGGTGACAGATGCAGAAACTGACTTGCGGGGAGACTCTCACGTGGCAGTTCTGCTTCTCCAGCTTGTGAACTAAAGCAGACCACCCCCACCACCCTGGCAGGCTGAAGATCACACGGACATTGCGCTGTGGGTCATTTGGACAGGCACGTCCTTGGGCCAGCGTCAACTCCTGTGCCCACCCCCTGCTCTTGACCTGCAGAAATACTGCTTCCCCTGCAGGAAGAGCCTGCCCCACCCACAGACTGGTCACCGTGACTCCACCCGGCACCCTCCCCCATCAAAAGCCATCCTGTAAACCCTGCTTCCATGTGGAGAACCAGGGCCAGGTAGTCCCCTCCCCAACGCAAATGGAGAGGGATCAGTCTCCAGGAGCCCATCTCTGTGCCGCCCGTGGGAGATAGACCAGGCTCAGAAAAGATGAGAACTGTCCGGAGTGCAGGTGTCTCCAAAGATATGGATCTGAAGGGTCCATAGGGGGAAATCGGGTTGAGACAGGAGGCAGAGGCTTTCAATTTATAGTCTGTGAAAGGGACTCCTCTCTCTGCAAGTCAGAGGGAGCATGGCATTGCATCCAGCCCCAGGGGGCACTTGGGACTCCCAAGTGGGGCAGCTAGGTACCCAGGGCACCACCAGTGTTTGTGCTCAGAGTTTTGTTTTTCCCATAAGTAAATAGCTGTTATCAAAAATCTGTGTGTGTGTTTTAAGCCAAATTCCGAAGTAGTTATTCATTTATTCAACAAATAGGGCAGAGCTGTAGTCGTGTGTTCCAGCACCCACAGGATGGAGGGGGCTGGGATCCGTGGGACTGGGGGAGGCGGGAGGCTGGGGCCCCAGCACTTGGAGCAGCAGGACTTCCTCCGCCATGGTGCTGTGATCTCTGAGTGCAGGCTCCTTCCCTCTGAGCCTGGCAGACTGGAACTCTATCTTTGCCTTGCCCTCAGGGAGACTTCACAGGACGCCCCCAGTGACACTGGATGGGGGTGGGGGGGTTCCTATGGCTGTGGGGACAGAGGGCTGCTGTTTTGGACCATCTGCTCTGAGCCAGGGACTTCGTGTGCAGTAATCTCCACAGCCACCCTGCAAAATGTGCACCATTGCTCCCTCTGTGCTGATGTGGAAACTCAGGCTTAGAGAGGTCAAATTGCCAGGTTTCCTCAATTTGTGGGGGCAGAGGAAGGACTTGGCCCCAAGTCAGTGCTCCAGACCCCCTGCTCTGTCTTTCCTCTCTCCTCCTTATCCTGGATGTCCAGGGAGGAGGAGATGCCAGCTGCTTCTCATTTCAATATCTTTAAAATCCCTGCTGAGCTGGGCTCACACCATACAGTGTTGCATTTCCACCCACATTTACTGTTTCCCATCTCATCAGGGTCAGAAACAGGGGCTCTGGACTTCCAGGAAGTCTTGGGCAGCACCAGAGGGTCACGTGTGGTTCAAAGGGGTTCAAATTGTGCTTTGATGGAGCTAAAGGAACGCGTGGCATTGCCCAGGGGCTCCCGCAGAGGCGGGAGCCCGTGCCACCACTGAGGGGCCACCACTTAGGCTTGGGTGGCTCACACAGTGTCCTGTATTCTCTCAACAGCAAATGCAGCTTGTGGCTGAGAACCTGAAGGAGGAATCGAGGGAAGGCGAGAAGGAGAAGGCGACCTGAACGCGCGGGCTGCCCTGAGTGCAGGCAGGGGAGTACCCGGAGCAGCGTCATGGCTCCTGCACCCAGACCCAAAGCTTGGCCAAGTGAAGCGACTCCCACGTGGCAGGCCCCCTCCTCGCCCTGCAGTGTCCCGTCTCAGAGCTGGTGAAGAGGGCCGCCAGGACCCAGCTCTTGGCAGACCCCCACTCCCGCCCTGCTCCCTCTGGGTTTCTGCCCAAGCACCACACACCACTCCAGCTGCCTGACCCTGCTCCAGAGCCACTGCTGCCCCCTGAGCTTCGTGCGTGGATGAACCGCCAGCTCTCCATGTTGCCCCTCACAGTGATGGTCACACCCGCCCCCGCCACGGCCTAGGGACCTGTTGGGTAGGGTGGCAGGTCGGGGGTGTGTGCCCACCGTGCTATCACAGGAGCCATTCTGAAGGGGGCTTCCGCTGAACCTCAATTAAGAGTGAGAGATGTACAAAGAGGCAGTGTTTCCAACACCCCAACACCTCTAAATACCTCTTTCCTGGTTCTATTTTGCAATATGTTAACAGATCCTTTATCAACAAAAACAATAGTAACTGAGCAATTAAAGGCAACACGCACCTCTCTGACTCCTACTTCCCGTACGAGGACTGAGGTGGCCCCTCTGTTCCAAGCCCTGGGTCAGGTCATTAAAGGTGGAGCTGTGAGGGGAGGAGCTGAGGGTGGGGCTTAGCTTGAGGCTGGGCACCTGTGGGCCACATCCAAAGCTTGCAGCCGAAACCCAGGCAGTTCTCGGGAGGTTCTGCTGCTGCTGGAGCCTGCCCCAAGGGTGCCCAGCAAGGGCCACCGGGGCTGCTTTCATGCACACGGCTCCAGACCGAGGGCCAGCTGCCACACCCGGCAGCGTGGTGTGGGCTCACGCCTGGGGAGGAGGGACTTGTCTTTGCCCAGGGATGCCGCCCACCTCCCTGTGCCCCTGGGGCTGTACTTCTTTCACAGGCACAATAGCCCGTGTGGACCAATAGCCTGGCCCACAGGGGTACAGCCCTCCAGCCACAGGGCAGTGACTCTGGAGCCTGGGCTGCTCCCCTGGCTGTGGTCTAGCCATGAGGACCATGCCACGAGAGCAGGGCCTGGCTTCTTTTCCTGCCAGCTGGTCAAACTCTGCCTCATGAAATGGCCAGCCCCTCCCCACCGGGGCGCACGTCCCTCACAGCCAGGGCACCACAGACCCATGGGCCCTTCCACTCGGAAAGCTGCAGGTGCCTCAGCCCATCTGGAGACGGGGAAGGGCAGGGAGGGGCTGAGGTCCTTTAGATTCTAAACCTGTCTCCCTCACTCAGGGGCCCAGCACCTGGATGCCCTCCTTCACATCAAAATGTTGGTGGCCTCAGCGGCCCATTCAAGCATGGCGTGTTTTTGGAAGCCCCGACTTTCCTGTCTGTCACTCTTGGTTGTTCACTTGGTCCTGCCAGACCGTGTTTGCCAACATGGACATCTTTGAGTCGGCTTTGCCCTGTCCCTACTTGGTCTAAGACACTCCATGGCACAATTATTCAGTAGTTGTTTGGTGCTTGACAAATACTTTCTAGAACATGCTGGTGTTTTAAAACAATAGTGAATGGTAGCCACCACTATAGTCCTGAGCCCTGAGCCCCCAAGAGCTTCCTCACAGTCCCAGCCTGGGCACTTGTGTTTGTGGGGAAAGGAGAAAGTTCAGATGGGGACGTTGAACTCAGCTCTTCGTCTCCCCCAGAGTCCGGCTTTGGGGGATAAGGTGTTTGGTTCCGGGTGTGAACCCCATCAGCTCATCTCCCCATCCAGGGGCTTACAACTGCCTCTGAGCTGGCAGCCTCTCTGCAGGTGGCCCTCCTCACCTGTGAGGTGCCAGCACAGACCCAGGGTTCCCTGTGCTTGTGACTGTCTTTCCCAGAAGCCTCTCTGTCCTTCCTCAGTCTGACTGAGCAGAACCACGCTACTTTACCAGGACTAAGCCGGTCACACACAGAGAAAACTGGACCGCTGGGGTCAGCCTGGACGCACAGGACCCACCTCCCCTGGGGCCAGCCCCTGGGCCATTAGGGAGGGGGAGGACGGACGTGGGAACGGGTCAGGCTGTGTCAGGAAGGAGGTTGGCAGGAAGGGGATAATGTGTGCTTGGCCCCTGGAGTTCCTCTTTGTGTCCAGCGCTCAGAGTAGGTGGCATCTAGCTCATGGGATGTGCTCAGGAGCAGGGGTGCGAGGCACAAAGGCGTCCTTCACTGCTCCACATTTTGTAGTCCCTTATCATCTCACTTGAATTGAGGGAGACATCTTGGACGATGCCATCCCCCCACACCACCTGCACACTGACCTCACACACAGAAAGAGGGGGCTTCCCTCAGTCCATTTGGTCCGTGTCTCCACTTGGCATGATTCGCCCCAGCCTCTCCCTGCAGGTCACTTCATCCTCCCCCAACTCTTCTGCCCACTGACTCGGCCTGTTGTTCTCTTGTTCTGGCCTCACCTCAGCCCTCGGATCCAACCCACGCCACTGCCCTGCTAGCCAGTGGGTCCTTCTGATCCCCACCCCACTCCAGCTGTGCTGCCTCTGGTCCCCTTGGGTGTGACCCACACCCAAGAGGTGTTCTCCCAGACACCCCCGAGGACTCCGGCTGGGTGAAATCCTCCTCTCGTTGTTCCTAGCCTGCCTTTCCCCACAGAGCTGACAAGAGCTGGAAGCATCCGCCTGCCTTGAACAGACCTGGACTCCAGAGGCACAGGCCCAGTCCACTTAAGAGAAGGTGCGTAAAGAAATAGCACCAAGAGGAGACTAAGACAGCAGCGTCTCCTGATGGGTCAGGCCAGGAACAGCTGGAAGGGGTTTCTGAGCCTCACATGAGTCCTACCCCTCATTTCTGAGAGGACGGTGTGAGGCCCAGACGGGCGGAGTACTCGCCCACACTGTGGCAAACCTGGGGCTTTGGATCAAGCCCAGTCACCAAACGGCTGTAGACAGGATGGGGGAGAGCCGCGTGTGGGCAGGGCCTGGGAAAAGAGCCTCTGCCACCTGGGGAGAGCCCGGAGCCCGAGGGTTGATGCCCCGTCCCGCTGGCCCTGCTGGGAAGGGGCCCAGGAGACGAGCTCAGCCGCAGACAGGCCCTCGCTGGGCGGGAAACTCAGGGGAAGGGCTGCTTCTCCAAGTTGCTGGGAGGCCTGCACAACCGAGGCTGCTGGGCAGGGCCAGGCCACGAGCCCTGCTTTTTGCCTCACCGTGTGGGCAGCCCTAGGTCAGGTGTGTCCCCTGACTGTCACACTCACCCCTAACTCACCTCCCTCAAGACATGAGATACAAACTGTCACCAAGTTCACAGGTTGTCAGTGGGCCTTGGCCCCAATGTGGTTTGGCCCCAGGCCTGACTCACTTCTCAGCCCTACTCTCCTCTCTCACAACCAGCCATGACATTTAGTTCTGTGCTGCTGACAATTATCTGGCACCCCTTGGGCAAGCGCCTGGGCTGTCATGTCCCACACAGGTACCCCCTCTTAAGCAAGGAAGTCCCCACACCAGAGGCCCACAGAGAGACCCCAGAGCAGCCCTATAGTCAGGCCTGGGGCTGTGCTGGCAGAGCCCAGCCACTGGGGCTGCTGCCTCGGGGTGGGAGGGTCAGGCAGTGGACCCTTCTCTCCCCACTGGTGGTCACATCCCCGCCAGCAGCTCAAAAGCTCAGACTTGAGAACAAATCTTTATCTTAGTGGCTTTTGGGGGAAACAAGAAGCCCATGGTTAGGGATACCCAGCCCTACAGTGAAGCTGGAGGCCAGGAGCCCACTGTCCTCCTGCATACACCTCTGCGCCTCACTTTCCTCACATCATCCCTATTTTATAGTCGAGGAAACAGGCACACAGAGTTAAGCGACTTCCCCCAGTTCTCGCAGCAGAGTGGCCCACTCTCCACAGCCCACATATGCCACGTCTGCCCGGAGGGTGCCTGCAGCCGGCACCAAGCCTTCTGCCCACACTCTCTCCTCAGCCCTGACCCCTGCAGCTCCTGCCCTTCTTCCAGCAAGAAACTAGCAACAATAGGAGGAAGGCCAAAGGCCACAGAACGAGAGCCCCGGGGTCCAGACTTTTCTTTACGGAGTTAAGAATGCCACAGCCCTGCAAGGACAGCGCCTGGTGCCGGGCCTCGGCAAACAGCAGCTGACAGGCCCTGGTGAACTTGTCACTGGTCAGCCAAGTCTGAAGAGGCTGGCAGGCTCCAGGCTTCCCTCCATGCCCCCCACGCCCCACCCAGGGTGGCTTGAAAAGAAGGGGACCTGATAGAAGCTAGACCCACCAGCACCTCCAGGAGCCATCGGAGCCTGGAAGAAAGACGCCCCTCTGCCAGCGCAGCTGTGTTCTCAGGATTCTGCCTTCAGCTAGGAAGGCCTTCAGCTTTCGTCCCAACCATGAGAGGGGCCACAGCCTCTTCAGAGGAGGGAAGACGCTTTTCCTGGTCCTGTCAGGAGGCCTGTTGGTGGTCGTCTCGTCGATCCGAAAGTTGGCACCTGGGAAGGGTGTGGGGGATGCTGCTCATCCCAACTTTTTCTAAGAGTCCAAGTTAGAAGCTCTTGTGAGCCAGCCGGGGGGGCCCCAACCAAGGCCTGCACCAGGTGGGCAGTGAGGCCAGGACCAGGGCCACATGGCTGTAGGCCAGGCTCAGCAACTGGGCCTCAGATTCCTCAGAGTGTGGCCACAGACCCTGGAGAGAGAATCACCTGGACCTTGTTCAGTGCAGATACCCAGGTCAGCCGAGGCCTGAGGAATGGGATCTTGGCAGTTTTGCCCAGGAGTCCACATCTTTGAGGGTGCCCCCAGTGGACGCTGTTGCACACTGAAGTTTGAGAACTACAGTGCGGGGAGAGGCCTTGCTGGTTTCTCTCCAGAAGGAGCTGATGCTAAAGGCGCTTCCCTGCTGCCTTGTCATCACAGTGCCAGGTGGGGGCCTCCGTGGTCTGTCAGGGATCTGGAGCAGCAAGGACCTCCCCACCCACTGGACAAGCACCCCTGGGCCTGAACAGGACCTGGGGGAGATGAGCAACAGGGTACAGGTCCAAAGAGACTCCAGTTCCCTCAGTGCCTGGCATGGATGACTGGCATCTCCCCCGACCCTTCGTAAGCCCTTGGGATACTCAGGCAGTCCAGAGGAGGAGTTGCCTCCACTCAGGAGGGAGGAGATGCTGGGCTTCCTGCTGACTGGTATGTGGGCCTCACATGATTAACTAAAAAAAGTAAAAGAGGTATGAGGGCATTTTCCCTTCAGCTTGTGGCACCCATCACACTGATGACACGTGGCTCACAGAAATCGTGGCCTCCTCTCAGGACCTTTTACAGTGCTGGTGAACTTCCCTGGATCGCA